CCCAGGAGTTGGAGGTTGCTGTGAGCGTGATGCCATGGCACTCTACCCAGGGGGATAGCTTGAGGCTCCGTCTCAAAAAAAAGAAAATAAATAAATAAAGTAGTTTCTCCTTAAAATCTTAACATTTATGTGATATTCGTACAGTTGGAAAAATTACACATTTCCCATGTTGAGGTTCATTCAGGGGTAATTATAAAACTAATATAGTTGAGCTAGCTTTTCACATAAGTGTAGTTCACATGTTTATCTAGAACTTAAAAATGGGCAGTGAGAGAGGCTTAAGTACAAAACATACCATATCCGTGGAAGTTTATATAATTTTAATACCTTCCATTTAGAATAGAAATGCAGTGATTCTAGAATTAGACCCAACTGCTAGTACTACTAGAATATATACTATGAAGCTGTTTAAATTCTGGAATTTTGTTGAATAGTCTAAGAAATAAGGTTGACAAGTATCAGTTACCTTAAGTTTCCTTTTGCATGTATGTTCCACAAACCATTCCCTTTTTAAAAAACACTTATCACTTGGATAAAACTACAACTGAAAGTAGATCACTTTACTCTTTGGTAGAAGAATAGAAATGGAAGAATTTAAGAATCTATTGGTTGACAAAAAAATCACTAGTACTTGATTTTATTTCTCTTCTGGGGGTAAGAACATTTTCCACTAAGGAAGTTCACCTAGATTATAAACTGGTTTATCTTCTACCCCGCTTCAGAAGCAGTGCTTAGTGGGGACTGGAGCCACATGTGAACCTCTGTAAATGAGCCCCCTCTGTAAATGGGAGCTTAGTGAAATACTAACTGGGGGAACGAAGAGAGTCAACATGTTGGAGAAGTAGTTGGAGACTGCTCTGTAATATCTGTGAGCTTTTAAAAAAGGAGTACAGCTTCATAAAATGTTTACAGTCAAAAAAATGTCCACTATCTATGTCCCAAAGATAATTGCTACTAGTGCTTGGTGACTCTTTGGGCCTTCTTCTCAGCATACTTACTACCGAGTTGAGATAAAATTTTTGCATTCTGTTTTCTGCCCTATTTAATGCTATAAAAGTTCAGTCTTCAAAAGCACAGTACTGCAGTAATATTATTCTGCCATGGATATATTATTTAACCTTTTTTTGGTTTATTTGTTTTTTAGAGACAGTCTCTCACTTTGTTGTCCTTGGTAGAGTGCTGTGGTGTCACAGCTCACAGCAACCTCTAGCTCTTGGGCGTAGGTGATTCACTTGCCTCAGCCTCCTGAGTAGATGGGACTACAGGCACCCCCCACAACACCTGGCTGTTTTTTTGTTACAGTTTGGCTGGAGGTTTGGGCCTGGACTGGACTCAAACCCACCAGCTCTGGTGTATGTGGCTGGCGCCTTAGCCACTTGAGCTACAGGTGCCAAGCCACTATTTCTGT